TTTGCGGAGCTCTGACACACAGCACTGAAATGTAAGCAGGAACTTGAAAATGAAACTCTTGTCCAATTTAGGATTTGTACTCTGTTAAATAACAGACATTCCTAACAAAGGCAAACAAAAACTGTTCTTATTGGCGTAATATCAACAACGCAGAAATAATAAAAGTTTACAGTGACGCCATTTAGATTTATTGTTGACCATTAAGTCAAACTCTAGAGGTTTCCCTAATGAAATGCTAATTTAACTTTTACACGTAAGTAATCTGTATGTAAATAAAGCTTAAATTTAAAGCACTCAATGTGTTTATCTGAAGATAAAGTGAGTTTTGTCGGGTTTCGTGGTAGCAGTAGCCGCTTATATTAATGTTATCACAGCCGAGATATCGATGAGGTGTCAATACAGCGGTGTTTAAGTGATTTTTACAATTTATTGCCTCGTGCGACTGATTTATTTGAACCAGTTTAACCATTAATGTAAGCAATAATAACGAAGAACTCAACATTTGGCTGCGGATTTGCCCGTTCAAGTCGATTAGATAATTTGTAGACTTGTTAGTTTCGTCCGATGAAGATTAATCCGTTTTTAGATACTACACTACTCTAATTAAGCTCGTTTTTACCGAAAAAATTGTCTAATTATTAAGGACCGAGCCATTGTTTTTTATTTTATGTGAAAAGTTGTCGAAAAAGAAGGCCTTGGACATCTAAAACAACCTAGGGCTTGACAAGTGTTGAAAATCTTTCAAAAGGCCAAGTGCGAGTCGGACTCGCGCACGAAGGGTTCCGTACCATTATCAATAAATACGGGAAAAAAAATCATGTCTTTTGTATTGGAGCCCCCTTGAATATTTTTTATTTTGTTCTGTTTTTTAGTATTTGTTGTTGTAGCGGCAACAGATATACATTATCTGTGCAAGTTTCAACTGTCTAACTATCACTATTCATGAGATACGGCCTGGTACACAGACAGACACCTCAATTAGCGGACGAAACGCCAAAGTTTAATACCTCCGCTTCACGCCGAACGCGCCTGCCCATTCGACAACAGTACCTGTAGCTGTTGCGTGGCCCTACCACATTAATTGTGGTAGGCAATGGTGAAGTCTCTACTTCTCTTGCCCAGTAAAAGTTCAACCACTTTTATACCGAAGACCCTCACATTACCTATACTCGGAGATGTAACGCCCATATGTGTTCCATTCATTGCTGTACGAAAAAATGGAGATGAAATTTAGTCCGTAAACTCTCAATACTTTTCTTTCCTAGTGTTTAGAAATCAATATCCCACATACGTACGTTTTACGGTTGTAGGGCCGCGCAGCAGCCTCGGCTGTTGCATGAATGGGCAGGCCCGTCCGGTTAAGTACCACGAGCTCACAGAAGACCAGCGTAAAGTGGAAGTATGACAAATACTTTCGCGTTTCGTCTGGTGAGTGAGGTAGCCGGAGCCCAATTTTCAAATGGTTGTCAACGCATCTGTAACCCTCGGGTGTGGCAGATGTCCATGGGCGGCGGTATTCATTTAAAATCAGGTGAACCGTCTGCTCGTTTGACAACTTTTCGCAAAAAAAAAGTACTCGATTTACGGCAATAGATTCATCTTATCTAACCCTTAGGGTCAATGAAACTTTTTTTTAATTTGAGAAAGTGCCAAACGAGCTGGCGTTAAGTGCCGCCCATGATCATTGGCAACACCCGTAGGTTTACAAATGCGTTGCCACCTTTAAATAAATTGGGCCCCGGCTACTTCGCTCACCAGACGAAACGCAGAGGTGTAACACTTCTACTATACGCCAGTCTTCTGTGAGGTCGTGGTACTTACCCGGACGGATGAACTCTATGTTTACGGAGATATCATAATTAATCTCATCAAATTAGACTTATAGTTCTTAACTAAACAACCTTTCTTACTTAGAGATTAAGGGCTTAGAGACATAGAGACGTACAAATCTACCAGGAACCAGCCTATTTCTACTGCAAAGTCCGGTAACGCTTTGGAAATACATCTGGTGATGCAAAACCGTTGGTCCTCTAAAGATAAGCACCAAAGAGCGCGCATCGCGAGCTTTCCCCGCCAAATAGAAACGCCCGCGTGCCCGAAATGTAGGCCCGTTACTTGATTAGCGATAATGGTCACACGGCCATGCGTTCACGGCATCAATCGATTCAACTGTATCGATACTACGCCTATTACTCACCCCATAAATAACTAATCGAATCGATATAATAGGCCGAGGCGAATTTTTGAATGCACCTTTTCGTACGCTCTTTAGGCCGCGGCGATAAATTCGCTGGATGCGGTATTGTACCCCTTGCCGCGTTAGTTCGTGCTATTAGACATTGAAGATGGATCGGTGTATTTAAATGATATGCACAATAACCTACTTTTAGAAAGATGATATGAATTTAGTGCATGTCGAACATGCCGAACTTAATTGGTTTTTTTTGGGAATCTCTCTAAAAACCCATTAAGTTTAGCTATCAGGTATTATAACAGTGTAGTTTATTAAAACATGTAGTTTATAGTAGTTTGTGCTATTAGATTTTGAATATATATGGATGTTAGACATTATTGGAAATTACGAATATAGATATTATTGGAAATGCACAATAACCTAGTTATAGAGATATATGAATTTAGTGCACGTTTTACGGCTTACAACTTTCGGCTTAAAATTTAGAACAAATATTCTCTATGTAAGATTTAATGGTCGTTTATAGTTTCATCAACGACACGCGTTGAATTTTAACGAAAGTTATAGTTGGTGATTCTTCCTCAAGGTTTAGAGACATTTAGACATCAGCTAGAATGAAAAAAATAATTAATATGGATTTAATTATTTTCTGTAATAAGTAACAGAGCTCTAATCAGAGTTTTCGTTATTTAATACGTTCCTATGTCTTTTCCAGTTACTTTATTTATTGGCCGTTTAATACCAAATTTTACAATAGGTGTGAATAGACCCAAACGCGTGTATACGTCGGCTGTTTAAGGTTGGGATTGCTTTAACAAGATGCTCAGCGACGCCAATCATCCCGGTTGATTTTTATGTTCGTATATATCCGCCGTGAATCGATTTGTTACGATTCTTCGATTTTTTTCAGTACAGTAATTGGTGGGTTTACGTCAGTGCATTAAGTACTGTGAAATTTTTTACTCAAGTTAGACCCGCTTTTATTCTATGGTGCATGAGTACTGGATGTGTGAAATCTATATTTTCTTGGAGCCATCTAAATATACAAAAGTCAATTGAAAATTGATGTGTAGAGAGTGCAGTTTGCCAAAGCTTTGCTAAAGCTTGAAACTTTGAGAATATTCAGCTCTTCTCTTGTCCAAGAACAGAACAAGAAATTGAGATTAGAGTAATCACAGTAGGTTCGTCGCAAATATTACAATATATTAAGTACTAATAACAAAACTGAAAAGCATGACATTGCTGTTAACTGAACGATTTCAAAAACCCTTTTTTTACTATTTTGGGATAAACGTAAACTAGAATTTAAACAGCTTTTGATAGAAATCAATTTGTCGTTTTCATTAAATGTTCCCTTTTCCAACGTTTCAAAAATTTAAATTGAATTAATTTAGTGTTTATATCATAGTTTCTTTTCATATCGTTGTTAAAGGATGTATAAAAAATGAAATGTACTACAGTGTAGGCCGTCTGATCATAACTTATAGAATCAAACGCTTGTATCGACTCAATTATGTATCCGTAAAGTCTTAGAACCATATTTGTAAGCCGTTTAATGTGTTTTACCCATATAAAGTACGAAGATTGGCTCTAACATGTATAATATTATTGCCTCCCGGCACTTATGGCTTATTGCGTAAAAGCTAACCAGATGTCTCATAAGATACTTTATAAACACTCGCGTATTTTTCAGTCACATGCGGCAAAAGGAATTTTAAGGAATTCACAAGCCCAAATTATGTTGTTTTCAATCTTATTTAAAGCGCAAGATAGATATAATAAACAAATTGAAATTTTCCGTTATTATTCCTATTTCCCTTGAATAATAATGAACAGGTGATGAAAATGCATATTTTATATAGAAATTAGATTTTGGGTGTATTTTTTAACGTTAAACCCGACTAAAAGCAATGAGCTACATATTATAACTAATTCGCAATTAAAGGGTATATTAATAAAATGAGATTTGAAATAACGGTTGCCTTAAGAATATTATAAGTTCAAATGGCACTCTAGTTAAGGTTGATAAGAAATACTTGCAAACCTAACTGATTTAATAGGTGATTTTGCAATTAGGAATCCGATTTTGTCCGATACGAGAACCATCGATTAATGTTAATTCTTAGTCCGAGTTGTGGATGTTTTTTTAAATGTCAAGAAAGCGTAAAATTCACGGTTGAGTAAATTTCCAAGCAGATACAATGTGTCTAGGATTATGATGCGCTGTTAGTGAGGGGACAGACTTAAAGTATATGTTACGTATAAATACAGCTTAATCTAAAGGTACTTAACAAATGAAAAACATTTAAATTTCTTCTAAATGTATTTTAACTTATTTCTTAACAAATAGTTGCTCTGAACAACTTTTTGTTGTTATTCTATATTTTTACTAGGTAACAAACTATAACTGCCATAGTTTGTTACTAGAATACGCAAATAATTTGATAAAACATTGAATCAAAAAATTAAAAGAAACGTACTAATCATAATTTTTTGAACAAATATAAAAACTATTTCACCACACATTAAAAATGTAAATAACACATTTTGTATATGAAAGTTATAAAACCAAAACATCTCACTGAAACGTTTATTGTATCATCATGTCATAATATGACGTATAAATAAACACGATGGTAATGAATGATTTCCTAAAAAATAAAACACCTCATTTTGAATTTTCGCATTCGGAGTTGGCACTGTCATACAAAAAAAAGTCTGTTAATATCGTGAGATTGCATGTAAAATTAATATAGTCCTGTGGACCATTGAGTGTTCGTGTCCCGTTTGGTTCTATAGGCACTCACCTCTTTCCATTCCTCCGCCGCCTCTTCGTCGCGTACACGGTGCCCAGTTGGCTCGAGTGCGGCTGCGGCGGTGGCCGGAGCAGACCAGAGTCCACGCAACTCTCGAGTGCGTAGCCACCCTGCCCGCCCCAGCCGCCGCACAGCTGCAACTTCGACTCTGTGGCTATCTTGACGGCTGGCGGCGCCAGGCGTGACTCGCTCACACCGCCCGGCACGCTGGTCAAACGCGATCAGCACCCATGCGACCCCTACCACCGGACCGGTGATAGCTCTAGTCCTCCCCTCAGTTCCAGATACACGATTCAAACTACAAGCTCTTCCTGCAATTCCTCTCTGATAGCTCTAGTCCTCCCCTTAGTTCCAGATACACGATTCAAACCACAAACTCTTCCTGCAATTTCTCTATTATAGCTCTAGTCCTCCCCTTAGTTTCGCATACACGAGATTCAAAAACTCATCCTCCAATTTTCGGTGTAACGTTAAATCTGCTAGGACAACTTTGGCAACATCATTAGCTCACTCTATCATTGCACTCGCAAATAACTTTAGTTAATAAGGTTCTAATTTAGATAGATATATATAATCACACTCTTCGAATGTAAACTCTTTGATATGTGCTTTCAAGTTGCGTCCAATTAAAGATTAATCGATTGGATTCAAATTTGGAATTAGCGTTTTCGAATGATGGAAGTCGATCAACGGAGGCAAACGCAATACGCTGGTGCGGCAGATCGAAAAATGAGCACACATCGCGGGCGGCACTGAATATTCATTTGGAAACTCGGCTGGATCTCATGGCCTCGATATTGACGTTCTGAATTATCGAATACTAGCGATCGTATCCGGCGGAAAATATAGCTCCTTGTTCACGGATAAATAGTTTTATCGACCTCACGAACACCTCAAATCTGGACTTTAGCACATTTATCCAATATTTTATATTCAATTTTTTCGTGAAGTCGGGAATTTATCTTAATTAAACATGTCAATTAAAAAACACAATACTATCGATTCACTGATAAACAAATCTTTAGATTTCCCTCGAATATTTACTCGAATTACTTTAGAAATACTATAAACGATTCCATCACATTTGTTTCGTTTATCAGCAAGACGTAGACAATTTACAAATAAATATCTCGTTAATACGACTTTGGAAGAATTCGTTGAGCGCGACTAAGTTCTATAATTGGGAATCCCAATTGGAAGAGTGCGGTGATTTGTTTTGGTTTTTAGTTTCTCGTCCTCTCGCAACTTCACGAACTGTCAACTGCACATCTCTGCTGGGGGATATTGCACTTTGTTTGTCGCCGGCTAGGTCACAATTCAGCGCGCGGCCGGCTACTCGCGGACTGAGGTCACTGCTTTATCGATTGCACCGTCTCCCGTTCACCCCGCGGCACTAACATCGAGAACAACACTTGGGCCCTAACCGGGAACGTTGTCCGCGTCACAGACGGTTGCACTGAGGTTGCTCGGCCCGCGTCACCCGATAGCGCACCGTCCCTGGATCCCGTGTCCGCGCGACCGCTTTGAGGTTAGGGTGGAGTTGGTCGGGCACGCGTGGCGCCACCGGCGAGCGCCTGATGTGGTTTGGCGGCTCGATCACAAAGACCCCTGGCGGAGGGGGGCGGCACTCGCCGACGACACGCCCCCCCCTCTCGGCCAGCCAACCGCGCGCAAGCGTCGGCTCCGCGCGCTCTGGGACGTATTGAGTGACGCTCATTTTTATTCTCCAAAACGATCGAAGAGCGACGCGACGGGTAGTTCGCGCTTTTTGCGGTGCCCGCTCCCTTTTTCCTCTCTCTCACTCGTCCCGCACTTGCTCCGCGCGCTACTTCTAAAATGTCAGTAGCAAAGTCGACGTCGAAGTGGAAACATCGCAATCGAACATTGAGCACGTTTTCACGAATCAATTACAATGAATACACGATTGTTTTCAGTCATAAAATCCCCCTTAGATTATTTTCATTGTACTGATGCGCGATGCTCAGTAGTGAATAAAATGCCCAATGGAAAATTTATGAGAATATAATGTATCCTTTTCAATTTTTTCATGAAATATTAATAGTCTTGAACAAAGTAGCTTACAATTTAGTCTAAAGATACTGAATTGAAGATATACTGACAGTTATTACCAAAAAAACTTTAACAATCAACATACAGATCACAAGTTTTAAGCTTTTCGATGTCATTCTTTATTTAAAATCCTTAAGGCTGCGTTGCCTTAAAAATTCCTCCTGAATACGTCCCTCGCTAGTCGCAATGACGTCACAAGATGGCCGCGACGGGTGGGGGTGAGTTTTCGCATTTTCCCCACGGCCACCGACCCAAATGGTCCAGTGGTCCCCCCGCTTTTGTAAATATTTTCGATACGGCCTTTGTGTATCGAGATATTATAAAACGCGAATATGTTGAGTCCTTATATTTCCCGCATTTATTACTTTCGGGTTGTGAGCAGGATACGTATTACCCGATACATACGTTCAGCTGTAGTCAGAGTATTTGTTGAGAAACATGTGTCACTAATTATGAACCATTATTGGGGTGCGTTATAACCGAGTCAAATTTGTATTTAATTTATTACTACTTATATTTATTAACTCATTTAGAAGACGGCCTATTCCAAAGGCTCCTAAAGCATTTGTAACTCTTCCGGTGTTCAGATATCAATGAGAGGCGGTGATCACTTCCTGTCTGATCATTTGATAGGAATCCCATAAAAATAACTAAATTTCGTTCTATTTAATGCTCCAGAACTATACTTATTACAGCTCTTGCTCTTCACATAAACTTTCTTCGTAGTCATGTGTTTTATATAGGGTTGCGGTTAGTATTGGGGTGGCGGAAGGAGGATCCCCCCTAGCTAGTGAACTTTAATCATTACCACAATTATCTATTGAAAATTCAACCACAATTAAGCTGTCACGGTTAATTCTTTCAGTTAAAGCATGTAAATGTATATAGTTAAAATTATGACTCTATTAAAATTGCATTGAAACATTTAAAATCCATTTATTACGAACATATTTTGAATATTTCGAAGAAGGAATTGCAAAGGTAGTTCTGTATTATATTTAAAATAATCGGATTTTGTTAAAGTAATTCAATTTTGAATTGCCGTTTATTAACAAAATTAAAAAAAAAAATGAGACATTAGTTTCGAATGAAAAAATAAACTATTGCCATGTTATGTCATCAAATTCTGACTGTATCCATAACTTTCCAAAAATACTCATCCCAATCACTTGGGCCCAATAGAGTGTCTATTTTTTTTCTATACACCGTAAAAAAATTCACTTTCTCCTTTGATACATCCCATCATGTTTGTTAGAGCAATAATATAAGGGGCCTTTCTTATATTAGGTACAATATAAAAACATTATATTATTATAAACTTGATCTCAGTACGATGAATTCTGTGGCTCTCGTGGTTTAAAATTACAAATCATTTTTCAAGAACTTGCTAATACAAGTAAAAGCTGTAAGAGATTACAAGAACATTTAAAAAAATTACCTAAAACATTATCTCGGAGAAGGTATCATGGGGACGTATATATCTTTTCACACGTTAGTACATTTTGGGCATATTAAAGTCTTCCATATTAAAGTATCATACAAATTTGCTATACAGAAAATATAACAAAATACAAATTCCATCGGTACTAAACAAAAATATGTATTTATTTAATCAGTATTGAATTTCCTTCGAAATAGAAGAATACAAAAGGTGGCCTTAATCTCTTCAGGCATATACCCATTACGCATACGTCCCCATATCTCAATAATTATCAGTATTACTATTTATTACCATATTTTTTTATGTGATAATGTGTCAAACGAGGTGCTGGTTCACCTGATGCGATAACTGCCGCCCATGAAGCCATGACGAAACGCAACCATCGAGCAACATTTTTATTTTGCTCCATATAGTGACCGTCAAACATTTTAGAATCCTACTGATTCAGTAGGATGCTAAAATTTTAGCGAAAGCTTAATGAATAAAGTATAGAATCTATCTGTCTGATTCTATACTTTTGGATGGATAAATTGGGGTCCCCGAATGATCGCTTAAAAAGAAAAGACGCTCCCGTTTTTTATCCTCAGGTTTTAGATAGAAAAAGGTAATATCATCCCGAAGATAATCAAGTATCAGGCAACAAGACATATTTACAGTCAGGAAATCCCAGATTGCCAATATGATTTAAGGCCGTCTCGCTAGTTTGTATCTTAAAATATAATATCATAATCTTAAATAAAACGCGAATGCAATGAAAGAACACATCTGAATATTATAATTACAAAGCTTTCCAATCACCGCGCGGCTTCGTGGAATCATTGTTTACTTTATTCGTTTTTAATTGTTGTATAATATTTTTTACCAAATAGTGTTTATAATTTCTACACATTGCCATGTCGCTTTTTAGCTATGATTAGTATTTGAAATCACATTAAAATTATCAGGTGTAAAATTTGATACGAGTAGACATATACATCAAAGCAATTTATAAAAAGCGTAGTAATAAAATTGCAGATGCCGTTGCCATTTCGACTCTAAAACTAATCTGCTTCGTGTAACTGTATATGATTGCAAAGATTACTGTTGTATTAGCAAAATTGAGTCATAATCCACACTGATCTCAAAGTTTCTTTTTCATCATTGTAATGCCATCAATTTGTATGAACTCAGCGGATACGTGCCTGACATAGAATGTTAGGGAATGTTCAGCAATTTGCTAAAACACCTAGCATGAGAACTCACCCAAGTTCTGAATGCTCATTGCCATCATGTCCCAAGGTTTTCTCTCTTGCCATCTTAATACTTCGCAGCTACTACTTCTGTGGCAGTAATTAGACCTGGAAGTGCTTCATAATAGCGGTTACTTGCTTTTGTTTGATTGATTGACTTTAAAATAATAATCAAACATGTTGTCAATTTTTAGGGTCTTATACATTCAACATCGGCCATGTATTTAACTTACTATTGATTTATATTTTTCAGAGGTCTTTACAGTTTCTTCTAGCGTATTGTGGCAAAAAATTTCAGTTACATCTTTTCTCCATTATTTTGGCACCATTTTAATTATGATTAAAATATGGAACTTTTCCTTTACATTTTAATTGTGTAACAAGAAGATTCTAAAATGAAAACTTTATGAAGTAAGCGCGTCATCATCTTCTTTCTCCTACCATTACGACGTACCATTACAGACGTACCATTCTGCACACAGTCCATTCCAACCTTCAACCACATTCATACTCAATACTTACAATAGTCACATGACTTCCATCGCTTCTTATGTTGTACCCATACCATGACAACCTACCGAGCAGATATGGTATGGCTACGGTATTTTCTGAGCCGAGTAATATACATTAATTATAAATGAAACTGTACTTCGTGTTACATATAATCAATTATATAGCAGCACCCTATCTCTTTGGGTAGTTATAGGTGTTTCAGATAGACACGACTAATTAATATACTCCTAAAGCATGACACTATTTTTTCCTCAGGGATTCGAATCTTAACAAAATTTCCAAAGTCAATACGTATGAAAAATAAATAGAAGTCAATCTTTTTTTCCAACGCTACTTAAGGCAATAAACCATTTTAAAAACAGCTTATTCGTTACTGTATTACACAGACGTAGAGCCAATAACAAACTTTAATTGTTAGTTTTTTTCTCCAACAAAGCAAACACGTAGCAAACAAGGAGTCAATTAAAACAAAAAAAGGTCATCAGATTAAAGAAAAATACTAATTGCCGGCAGAACTTTATTAATGTGGCAATTATATATTAAAAAATATAGCGAAATAAATAATATGGTACTGACTGATCGAAATACATCTGAAGTGTTTTTTTTTTGTTTATAGGCACTATTCTTTATACATATGAAAAGTAAGGGTAATTCAAAATTATCGTTCAATAACAAGCGTGGCTTTTAAGCGTATAACATTTTAAGTTCTTCAGATAAGTCAAATACAATCATGAACACACGAGACTATTAGTCAAATGGGAGGCAGAAGATTAGGCTTTCAATATCTTTCGATGTTATCAAATTTTCTCATAAAATGGTCACAAGTAGGAGAAGACTTTTGCGCATTAAAATATGGTATATAAATTAAATCACCTTGAATTTTGTTACAGATTATAATAATATCGTAAACTTAAGTATTATTTGCAAATTTGTAACCAAACAAAACGCTCAAATCCGTCAGTTATTTTAAAGATTGAGAAGTATGTGCAAAAATAGAAGGAATCATTAAGTGCACTATAGTTATTAGCCAATCCGGTCAACATATACCCTTGTTTCATCTACCCATTTTATCTTCACACTTGCTTGTGTCTAGTTCACCGAAGAATTTCTTTTTATATTTTTGCAGTCAATATACATAATAAACAAACTAAGATTAATAAATATTTTTTTCTATTGTTTTGCTGCAATAATAAATTTTATAGAACTATTCCAATCTACTTATGATAGCGTAAATGTACAAAATGTGCAAAAACGTTAATACAATTGTTGGATAAACAATAGTATAATAATATAATTATTATTTACGCGTTTTTATTATTTCGTGCCATTTAAGTTTGTACGTTTTAATTTCAATTAATTTGATTTAATTAAATCGAACCATTCGGATGTCAAAACATAAAATGAATTAAGAGTTCTGTTCACATTATAAAAACATCTGAAAATATTATAGATTATTTGTATTTT